TTATCGAGGTAGACTTGTTTAATTTTTATTGTTTGTTCATTGAAAAAAAAAATGGCCCTAAAATCTTATTTTATCCAGGGCTGTGGAGTCGGAATCGGAGTCGGGCAGATTTTGGGGTAAAAGGAGTCGGAGCTGCAGTCACTAAAAGCAAGTCGCTTCAGACTCCAGTTTTTGTTGGACAGTTTGAATTTAAAATGAACTGAAAAAAATTAATGACAAGCTGAGTTATTATTTTTTTACGAACTGTATACATTAATAAATAGTTATTTTCTATTTTACTGACATATTCATAAATAAATATAAGGATGGATATGATATTTGCCACTAGCAATTAAACATTCATTTAATTACAAATCTCACTGGTAAATTTAGGTAAGTAGCAATAGAAACGAGCAGGAAAAGGAGCAATTATTGATCAAGCAACGCTATAAGGAAGTAGATATTTGATGATAAAGAGTTTTTAGAATTAAAAACTTTTTAGTAGATAATCTTAATGTTCCTCTAACAGAAAGACTGTGGAATGATCTTGCAGGATTGGAAATTCTTCTTTCTACACCGTATATAGCCACAAAAAAAAAAAAAAAAAAAAAAAAAAAAAAAAAAAAAAAAAAAAGCTGCAATTTGAAGAATTGACTTCTAACTCGAGTAAAGACGAAACACCTTCGTATTTACGTATTTTTATTAATTATTGTTCATTGAACGGGAGTTGGTTTGTTCCCCTTGAAAAGTCAACTAATTTCCGATCAATGACAATGATTACATGTTTTTAATTTTTCCTTTTACAATTCAAATTTTGTTCTTCATGATGATTTAATTCCAGTCCCCGTTAAAACATTATTAACATTTTACTTTCAAGTTACTTCAAAACATCTTTCAAAAATATAACTTACCAGTATGGATTCACTCTTTTAAAATAATTCTACTTTAATTAAACTTAGGAGATAATATAATCAATTAATCAATATTGTTTAGGAAATAAATTTATTCTAACTAACTTTGCAGCAATTGCGCAAGTAGTAGTAACTTGTTTTCGCACTAATGAATTTAAGATCATACAACATTTATATATATATATATATGTATGAGGGAGTCATTAAAATTCCAGGAGTCGGAGTCGGGCATTTTCCCTACCGACTCCACAGCTCTGAGTTTATCTAGCGTTAGTGTTTTACGTGTGTTACCTATGTAGCACAGCTTATTTTTTTTTACTGCCTTAAGCATGTAGCATCTATAATCTAAACTTGAGAACTATCAAAATAACTTCAGTTTGCATTACAACTCAGTGGTTTACTGTGACAATTATTGTCATATTTTTCTTCAGTTGCACTAATTTAATGAAACAGAGAAAGCATTTATATTCATTTCTGAAATAAAAATATATTATTATGACCAGTGTCTTCCTTCTTTGAAGACGCAGGTGTTAGAAAACATTTGTGTGCAGGCACCTGGGTTTTGAAAAAACCCATCCTGTGTTGAATTCGTGTGAAACCCTAACGTTAAACAGTTCGTAGTTGAGATAAATAAATCTCGTAAAGTTGCAAGTACAGTGGATGGACAAAAATATGGAAACACCTTGTGAAATGCATGTTTGAAAAGAAAGATTGATTTTAATGAAATATGTAGGTGGCGCTGGCATTTTTGACTACTGACGCCACCTATACAACTTCGTAAATGTGCTAAAGAGTTCAGTTGTTGTCGGAGTACTGTTATGTGAGGTTGTCATTGCATTATGTCAGAGTTAACAGACTTCGAACGTGGGCAAATTGTTGGAGCACGTATGGTAGGTGCTTCCGTAAGCAAGGTAGCCGAGGCGTTTAGTGTTTCAAGACGTACTGTATCGAAGATTCATTCCGCATATTTTGAAAAGCGGAAAAACATCATCTGCTAAATCACAGCGCGGACGAAAGTGTGTCCTGAGTGATCGTGACAGACGATCATTAAGGGCAATTGTGACGAAAAGTAAGAAGACCACAGCTGCAAAAGTTACTGCTGAAATGAATGTTGTGTTACCGAACCCTGTGAGTACCAAAACAATTAGAAGGGAGCTTCATAAACAGGGAATTGCTGGCCGTGCTGCAATCGAGAATTCCTCATCAGTGATGCTAATGCCCGTAACAGGAAAAGGTGGTGTTTAAGTCATAAAGCCTTGGACTATAGAGCAGTGGAAGCGAGTAATATGGTCTGACGAGTCTTCTTTCACATTGTTTCCCACTTCTGGCCGAGTTTACGTCTGGAGAACGCCATCTCAAGCCTATAATACAGACTGCTTGTTGCCAAGAGTGAAACATGGCGGGGGTTCTGTTATGGTTTGGGCAGTCACATCGTGGTTCTCTGCTAGCCCCATGATAACTGTGTCAGGGCACATGACTGCCAAGACTTATGTGAACATTTTGGCCGATCAAGTTCATCCCATGGTACAAACTTTGTTCCCCGATGGTGATGGTGTCTTCCAAGACGACAAAGCCCCTGTTCACACAGCTCACATTGTACAGGACTGGTTTTTCTGGCCACCACAGTCACCAGACCTGAATATTATCGAACCTTTGTGGTCCACATTGGAACGGAAAGTGCGTTCTCGTTATCCACCGCAAACATCGTTATCTGAACTTGCCACCGTTTTTGCAGGAAGAATGGTATAATATTCCCTTGGCAAACATACAGGAACTGTATTTATCCATTCCGAGAAGACTGCAAGCTGTTTTGGATGCCAACGGGTTTCCTACACCATATTAAGCAAAGAAACATGTTTTTTTAAAGGTGTTTCCATATTTTTGTCCAACCCCTGTATTTTCTTCAGACACGTCCGGTGTTGAGCTAGTTCGAATGTTCGGCGGTGTAAATGCAAAATGCTGCGTGCTAGCGTCTTAATGGCGAGAGCTCATCTGAGTTGAAGGCGTTGTCTCTGGAGGTACTTTGGTGTTCCTTCTTTGAAATGATTTATTTAGTATGGTAAAATTTCAATCGAGTATTCAAGGTAAGTTTCGATTTCCGATTAGAAAAAAGTTTTTGAGTTTAAAAGCTAGTTGCATTTTCTAGGGTGCCAAATTAATAGATTCTCTGGTTTCTTTGGTCTAAAATTACCTGTCTGTATTCCCAGAGTAAATCGCTGGTTTTCTTGACATTTAAGACAAGAGATCTTTTTTTCATGTGTTACGCTGAGACTGAGGACTGGGATTGCTTTGTCAAAAAATATCTAGCAATCTCACTTCTTAAATTAACCCTTTGGCTATATAATGACGTATCAATACGTCGTGCATTTGTTTGGGCAAAGACGCATATGACGTTCTGGTACATCATTGAAACTGAGACGAAATTTGGCTAGTTCATTCTGGTTTATTTCGAAGCAATGTGTATCTGTTGCAACAGAACAAATAATTTTAGTAAGTTTGGTGAATCTTGTTTGGGATACAACCCCATAATGACAGAAATAAAGAATATATTTTATCAAAGTGATAACGACAGTTTTAATGAAAGCAGTGATCGTGAATCTGAGGAAGAATTTTATAATGATAGTTTAAGCGATAAAGGGGAGTTTCAAAATGAAAAGGAGGAAGAATATATCGGGCTAGAAAGTGATAATGGTAGTGAAGTTATTCTAAGATGAACATGACGCTTGTCAAGCAGTGACAGTGAATCTTCTCGTGAAAATTTGGGGGGGGGGGGAATGTGCCTGATGAAAAACTGTTTTCTGAAGTACCTGGAATCAATACTTTCATTAGAACTGTCGTTATCACTTTGATAAAATATATTCTCTATTTCTGTCATTATGGGATTGTGTATCCCAAATAAGGTTCACCAAGCTACTGAAATGATTTGTTCTGTTGCAACAGATACACATTACTTTGAAATAAACCAAAATAAACTGGCTAAATCTCGTCTCAGTTTCAATGACGTATCAGAACGTCATGTACATCTTTGCCCAAACAAATGCATGACGTACTCATACGTCAAATGTAGCTAAAGGGTTAAATATGTTCCAAGTGCAAACAGTTTTCAAATAAATGTGTACCCAAAGCGTTAACAGAAACCGAAACTTTAATAATTTGTAATGGAGGTACATCATGAAGGTTTACTCATTTCAAGTGGAATTACCATTGTTCCTTTCAAATTCATTAAATATGTTTAGACCCATTTTCAAATTTAGCTTACATATGCTGTCCGAGAAGAAAAGAAAACTCAAGATAAATTATGTTTAACGTTTAATTTGAGCAATGCATTGCATAAAGATGACTATAAATACATTTCTACAATTCAACATATAAAAAAAATCAATCGAAATTTTTTAGATGTAAATCTTAAAATGTATGATCGTAGGCAAAAATGCCTGTCCCTTTCAAGTTTCATGTTATTCAGCCTCTTTGTTTTGTAACCTAATTTATTTTTCTAAATGAAGAAGATTAATTTTTTTTAAATATGAACTATTAGTATGTTGTATTCATCATAAAAATTAATTACAGAAGTTATTTTCTTTAATAAATCAATAGAAAAATAATTTGTCTTCCACTTCATATCAAGTCCGTTACCTCGAGATTATTTTACCCCAAATTAGTTTGTAAATCTGTCTAAAATTGGCAGTACATATTCAGTGACATAGATAAACTACTCAAGCCAAGTTTGACTACTTTGAATATATACTACTCCCCATAAGGCAGATTTACAAACTAATTGGGTGTAAAATAATCTGAAGGTAACGGACTTGACACGAAATGGAAGACAAATTATTTTTATTGATTTGCTAAATTTTTATCTAAAAATTTTCAATTGATTTTTTTATAATTTTAATTGTAGAAGTATTATTTACAGTCATTTTATGCAATGTATTGCTCAAATTAAACTTTAAATATTATCTTGAATTTTCTTTCTTTTCTTCTGAGATAGCATATATAAGCAAAATTTGAAAATGGGCAGTTAATAAATGTAAATTCGTTATCTTTTTTTAATTGTTGTATATAGTATTATTTGAGTACCTGAGTTAACAGGATCAATTTTGTTTTTGGTAGCTACCGGAACTGACGTCGCCAACTAATGATCCGGGACCAGCTGCATTAACCACTCTGCTTGTTCAAGTTTTGGGCATAGCTATTGGAATTTGTGTCATGCTTCTTATTGCGCTCTATGAACACGAACTGCATTCTATAGTCAGCTGATAACAACATGGAGGGACTAGTCATTCGCATTTTTTGCTTCTTTATGGCTTCCTGCGGTGTTTGGCGTACATATCTTTCTCTAAGAATGGTAATGAAGTGCAGGAATTGGGATCAGTGCACTAATTATTTCAAGGAGATGGCTTGCACCGATGCTTTTCCAATCAAATGAAACTAACGTTGCCATCTCGTCGAAGAAAATACTCAGCTTGCCTACGAAACCTAGGCAGGTTTACCATATTTTCTCTTCTTGTTCTATGCTGAGATGGAGGTTCTTGGTGCTGCGTCGCCATTTCTGGGATTAAGGTATTTTTTGACACACAGATATACAGTATTAACGCTATTTAACAAGGTACTTAAACTACCACGTGATCACTAAATATGCAAGATGTGACTGAGTTGATCGTCTTAAGCAAGTTTTCCATCTTGTTGACTGTTGATATATGCCTGTTTTTTTGTATTTCATTGTTACAGAGATCGTGTTGTAAATAAATGAATTTGTCTTTTCCTTGCATTTTATTTATTTCACTAGAAAAATAATTTTTTTTTTTTTTGTAAAGAATTATAATTATTGTTTTTTAAACTCGGCGAAACAGAAAGCAACTCGTTTGCACGAAAGGAAAATTCAACGATCCCTACTTGACGGAATACTGAACGAATATGCAGGGTGTTCGGGATAAATTTGACATATTTATAATTGACTATATTTTTCCGTAGGTTGGAGGTATTGACACGCACTACTCGTCATTTAAAAATTTGGACCCTTCTTCATTCATACACAAGATGTCAGAAAGGATGGATGACTGGAACCCACCTGAATCATGGAACTTGCATCATGATGATTGGTGCCGGCCATCAAAATAAGGATATTATGACTGCTGCCCAATGCTCCCTGAACACAGTAAAAACAATCAGGCATGAACTAGAGACTTGCAATGGTGACTACGAGGATGTAGCCACCACCAAAAGTCAGAAATGGTTGTCTGAAAATTTCTGTACGACGTTCACCAGTCCAAATGTTTGGCCTCCAAACTCCCCAGACCTTAACCCCATGGATTATTTTGTATGGGGCGCAGTTGAAAAAGACACCAATCGCACTTCCAGTAATACAAAAGCCCAGTTAATGGATAAAATTAAAACAGTTTTTGTGGCCTTTCCCAGGGAGACTATAGCATCAGCTTGTTCGAGGTTTCGAAGCAGGATTGAAGATGTGATCGATGCTAATAGTGGTTATTTTGAGTGAATCTTGTTGATAGTATTGTAATTTACTCTGCGTGTAATTTTTTTTTTGTCAATTTATTAAATTTAATAGATACAAAGCGGATTTTCGTTTTCCTTACGAAACTGTCAAATTTATCCCGAACACCCTGTATTGGGTGAGTGCTTTTGTTCATTAGGTTGGCAACCAGTCGCTAGGCTGGGTTGCAGTCATTCGCTGGTATATTTGTTGGTGTCGCTCAACGATGGTTGTGTGATCGCATTTCATAATTTCCGCCAATTCCCGCATTGTTTGGCGAGGATTATCATAAACCAACTCATTTAGTCGGGTTTTCATCAAAATGAGAAGATCTTAGATTGTGGTTCACTACACAAGCCGAATTTTCCTTCTCGAAAACGAGAAAACCATTATCTACTTGGCAGTATATACTGGTTTGGTTTAGAGTATTTAATTACGATTAAGCACTCGATTGGTATCTGCCTAAAAGGAGGGGTGTGTTTGTGGAGGACTTTCTAAGGGAAACTCGTATACACGTTACACAATTACTATGCAGCCAACCCAGGGGTTCGAACGGCAGAGTAAGAAATAGGAGCAGATAATGTCTGCATTTTCAATTCATTTTACTTCTCAAGTTTTTATGATGTCTTTGACTTCTTTATAATCTGGAATCCCTTCCTCTTCATTTTTGTCAAACTTTGAAAGTAGCTGTTGCCTCTTTCTCATGTCCTCCAGACCTAAAACTCTGCTAGATTATAAAGATAGTTGAAGAGGGGTGGCGAAAAGTTCAACTATAAAATATAAAAAATGTTCTGAAAGTCCAGAGAAATGACTCTCAAATAGCACACCTAAGAAACATGTTAATTGTAATGCAACAAATTCTTTCAAAAACAGTGGAATTATATTTGTATTTTATGGCCTGTTACAATGGTTCCCAAATGTAATCTAAACTGTAGCCTTGTTAATGACTAAAATTCTAAAGTGATAAGTTTTAAAATGTTATAAATCTGACAAGTTTATAAAATTTTAAATATAACAGGCGGCTTTGAATCTGTTCAGAAACAAAGCAGAATTTACAAAAATTACATACGTTCAAGAATAAAGGACTATATAAACTCGAACTTGGATTTTTCTTATCAAAATTCCGATCCTTAAAGTTACGAGCTCGTGAATCCTTAAAATATTATCACATGCTTTACTTGGTTCGTAACATGCTAATAGCTTGATGTTGTTGTCTTGTCCTTGTCTCATGGAACAATGTTTGCGAGAAACTACTCCGAAGAGAGGTTGGACTTCATTCACTATTTTTTCACCCCTAATTTCGAGGGAGAGCACCCCGGGGGAGGGGATCCGGGGGTCTCCAACCCCTCTCCACTCCCACCAGCGGCCGAGCGGTAAAGCCGCTGAACGCTGGTAGTTCGGCCCGAGGTTCGAATTCTGCGAACAGGCTGGCTGCATGGGTGTTTTCGTGGCCCCATGTGTAACGTGTATACGAGCCAGTTTCTCTTAGAAAGTCATCCACGAAGATATCCCTCCCCTTAGGCAGATAGCCCTCGAGGCTTTTGCCGTAATTAAATAACCTAACCCACTAGTCCACACGAGAGGACTTTCGGCTCGCCGCATGTTCATAGTGCCGTCATGCCGTACCGACACTATACATTTACAAACATCCATGTCTTCTCCGAGATTCGAACCCGGCCCTTCGTTACCGTAGTAGGCTACCCTAATCACTATACCGTCTTTGCGAAATTTATTTATTCAAAAAAATTTACACGTCTGAAACTCTTCACACAAAAGGACTCCTGCAGCTCTTCTTCAGTGCTACTGGTTGAGCTCTGTCATACACAGAGGACAATCAGTAGTTACCATTTCAAATTACTAAGATTACTAAGCAGAAACTAATACAAAAAGGCCCTTGATTTCTCAAACTTGCTGAAGGGCATATGCAGTTATAGTTACACAGGGATCAGATCAAATGGTTGCCAAGTTTGGCCACTTTTGGCGACAAAAGTAAGTCGCCAAAACTATCAGCTTGGCGCTATATCGCCAAGGTGTCCCTATGCCAAGTGCTACCCAGCGTAATTTATATACAGCGTGCAGCAATTTAAGATCTTGTAGACAGCTGCAGAGTGACTTCTGATAACATTAGACACTATAAGGAATCAAGGAAACCCTAATACTGCAGACGAATGACAGCTGTATGATTCAAATGGAAATAAAAGTCGGTGAATCTTCGGATTATGGAGATTTTTTGGCGAAAATTTGGCGACCAACCCTGCTACAGCAACCTGCTAGTTTTGTTTTGGATGCCATTTTGTTTTCACAAAGTAAATGCGTTTTTTTTTTTTTTTAAACACATTTTTTCAACCAATCTGCTAGCCGAATAGTTATAGATGGAACAAAAATGCTTAATCATGACGAAGATTAGGTGCGAATTGGGGCAAGTGCAGAATCGCAAACTGCTTGCCGCGTTTAAGATTGCACATACACGGTATCAGTACACGTCGACCTATTTTCACTTAAAAAACATCCCAGAATTGCACAAAAATGGCATTGCGCAAACTCTTGACTTTATCTAGTACACTCGACCTATTTTCACAAAAAGTCAAAGCAAATTGACAAAATCCAATTTTCTTACTTTGTAAAAAGCACCAAACAAATAAGGGGCGATTCTGCTTAAGCAGACGAATGTTTCTAAGTTTGTAGCTAAAATCACGATCGGAATTTTCCGGAAAATGTCGCATTACATGTCTCATGATCTCTCATTTCTCTGAGACAAAATAATCTGTGATTCTAACTGTGTACTTCTCTGATTAATGGAAGTTCTAGCTAGTAACCTTTATCGCCTTACCAAAATGTCGTCAAACTACCTGTTACCATATTCCAAAGATTAGCCTAAAAGTCTGGAGAAATAAGGTTTTCAAGTGATGGAAGCAGGCAGTCTGGCTTGTAGGAAGAAGAGTTTTGTAATTTTCGGGAACCGATCTACTTCGCAATATTCTTATGTCGAGAAACACGGCATAGTCTCCATTAAGTCAAGCAAGGATAAGTTCAATAAAAACTTGCGGTAAAACACGGAAATTCGAATCATCTGCGCTCTCCGAACCTGGTGCTTTTTTCAGTGCCAGTGTTTGTATAATTTGACGGATTTCCGAAGGCACAGAGTAAGGCTCAATACGGACTCTGATAGTCCAGTTGTAGCGTTGGAAACTGTGGATGGATACTCATTTTTCTCTAAAGTGGTGCACCATGTCAAAAATAGAGGTAGTACCACAATCCGTTGCGCTGCCTTTACACTGAAAGTCGCTGAAGGAAGCAAAGTCACCATGATTATTGGAACTGCAGAAAAGACAATACATTTTGTTAACCTCAAAGTCTACTGGAAGGATTTATTTATGCTTATAACTACATTTGGGGAGGAAAAACGTGTCCGGTGATCCAGTTCTCATCTAAAGGTGTTGGTGTATTTAATTACGGCAAAGCACACTAGGGCTATCTGCCAAAGGGGAGGGATGCCTTTCGTGGAGAGGACTTTCTAAGGGAAACTGGCTCGTATACACGTTACACATGGGGAAAACCACGAAAACCACCCATGCAGCCAGCCCGTTCGCGGGATTCGAACCTCGGACTGAACTACCAGTGTTCAGCGACTTTACCGCTCGGCCGCTGGTGGGCTCTCATCTAAAGAATTAATTAAATGGGTGAAAGCTATAGTTCTCACATTAACTGTGTTGCAGATAATTACAACAGTGGGGCTTTTCGGCCGATATGCTAACGCTCAGTGAATCGGCCGTTATTCTGTTGACGGAAAGAAAGAAAATCCTTAGAAATGAATCGAGATTACTTGGCTATGAAAGAGATGTTTATTTGTGAAAGAAATGTTTGTTATTTGATAACTTGGATTACCTGGGTGTGGAAGATACGTATATATTATTTGAAATATTTGATAGGACAAGGTTAATGGCAAGGTCGCTTTTTTTTTTTTTTTTTTTTTTTAATGGATGTACAATAAAGCGAAACAAAATCTCATGGTCGAATCACAAAAACAGTTGAACCACTCGAAGGATCAAGTCAATCTGAGTGACTCTCCAAGGTTTTTATTCGGTGATCCAAAAAAGAGACTTTTTTTTTTTTCCTTTAGAGATTTTATCTCAGCTTCTTCATTACAAAAATTCAAGTGATTTAATTTTCAGGCTCCTTTGTCTCGGATGAAAACGCCTTTCATTGAAAATGTCTTCGGTAAACATTCAGAAGGGCTTTCATATTAATAGATATAACCTTACGATAATAAT